TCATTAATTACTCACGTAGTAAGGACATCGGTAAAATAGTCCATGTGACATCAGGGGTTCAACCGTAATTTTACGAAGCTACGAGAATACTTTTTCAACTTATTCAACAATTCTTCTCCCCGAGTTACCGTCTTCCGCATAATCAGCGTTGTTTACGTTCAGCATGCAAGCGCTGTCTACTGAACGTAAACAATGCTGATTACGTTCTGGGGTACTCTCAAAAATGGCGGAAGACGGTAACTCGGGGAAAAGAATTGTTGAATAAGTTGTTATTATTGTTTTCCTTGCGCACAAAAAAGTATTCTGGTAGCTTCGTAAAATTACGGTTGAACCCCTGGTGTCACATGGATTATTTTACCGATCTCCTTGCTACGTTTCAGTGCGTTGATCATGTTAGGATCATTGCTGTCTTTGAGAGAGTCAGAGAGCTCTTAGATTCCATCAAAAATATCTTCATTTGTGTTCCGAAGATGAACGAAGGTCTTACGGGTTTGGAATGACATGAGGGTGAGTAATTAATGACAGAATTTTCATATTTGGGTGAACTATCCCTTTAACCTTTAAATTTCTTATGCATTTGTGTCTTTGTTCTGAAGGTCTGCTGCAGTGCTAACAGAAACATCACAAAGAGTGATTTCATTATTAATGAGATCAATGATCTACTAGATGTGGTGAGAACCAAAAAATTGTGTGTATTGGCTTTTGGCCGATAATTATACAATATCATCTATATCTTTTTGATTGGCAACAGTAAATATGGAAGCAATCACTGTATTTGTCATACAAATATGACTGAAGTTAAAAACATATTTGAAAACACATTTAGATTAGATTTAATTCAACCATAGTTATCTGCTGATATTTTCAGAACTAATATACTATTTGAATATTAATTCCAGTTACAATAAACATTTTGTATAAGAAAACCAAAAATACTAGAAAATTTTGTTTCCCCCAAATCAACAGCTGCAAACCATCAATGACGATATGAATAACAACTGGGTGATGTTGAACTGGACTGGACAAATCCAAGCAGTGATAGACCAGCAAAACTACTACAATGTGAGCACCAAAGGCATTTGGCCATATCTGATATGATATGATATGCATCCAAATTTCAGATCAACTAACATGAACATGATATTTTTTTTTTTTTAGGCAATCCTAAAAAATCTTATATCACTTCCATGCATCTTTAACCTGGAGGCCAAATGTAGCTATATGAAGAACAGAGTGTGGCAGGTAATTTTGTTTTGGCCTTAAAAAAAAAATCAACCTGAAGGTTTCCTGGGAATTCTTTTTTTTAAACACAGAATGAAATATTTTATTTGCAGGGTTGTTTTCCACTGACCCTGAGACGCACAGCGCTGCTGGAGGACAGTTTCTCTCAGCTGAGAATGGCCACTCAGCAACAACTCCGAGAATTTTGGCTGTCGGTAAGGAAAGAGAACAATGCAAAGCTTTAATTGGATAACATACAGGGCATTTTTTTATTTTTATAAATTTTATTTATTTTAAACCCAAGACAGGACCATACAAACAGAGTTATGAGCTGCAGTATGAATGAATTATTTTGGTTATCTAACACAGGTGTTTTACACGGAGGATATGAGAAGAACAAATGTCAACAGAAGGGACTTTTTTCACAACGTGTTTCAAGAGCTTCGTGCACCAGAGTCTCAGATGTTTATGTACAATGATAACCAAACTATGAGCTGGTTCCCAGCACAGGTAAGGCAAAAACTCTTTTTCATTAGATCATGCTAAAGACGTAAATGTAACAAAGTTTAGTTAAATCAGGTTACATACCATTCACACATGTATTTGCTTTGAAAAAATGTGAGATGTGGACAGTGGAATGGGGAAAAAATGCAAGGTCTCGAGACATTTTTAAAAAAAGTTGAACTTCTTTTAACTTGAACTCAGAATACTGTGTCATGCGCTAGATGCTGCAAAAGAAGTGAGACATGAGCGGGCCAGTGCGCGTTTACATAGAATGGAAAATGTGTGAACGGCCCGTAAGATACCTAATGCCGCTTTTGTGTTTTCCTATTGTTCTCTTTGGCCTTAACCACATATCATCCCACACCAGCTCAGCGTGGAGACGGAGAAGTACTTCCTGTTTGGGATTCTGTGTGGCTTGGCCTTCAACAACAACTCTGTAGTGCATCTGCCTTTTCCTTTAGCCTTGTTCAAGAAACTTCTCAATGTCAAACCATCTCTTGAAGACTTGATTGAGTTTGATTCAGGTCTTGGCAAGTGAGTGTTTTTACAATTAATGTTATCTCGATTCTCTTGGTATATTTTTGTATCACTGCTAAAATGCATGTCCATGTTGTATGAATGTGCTGCCATCTATCACATATCGAGTAACATTGTTTAATGAATCTGAAACATGATGTTCTCAGGAGTTTGCAGTACATCCTAGACTACAGCGAGGATGTTGAGGAAATGGAGATGTACTACACGGTTAGTTTGATTCTCATGTACTTTGCATAAAACACACCCGAACGTATCATTAACCAGCTGTACATACACATAACTGCGTTTTATGCAGAGGATCCTCACCAGTTTTTTACTTATTTATGATGAAATATATTGAAATATATTAAAATATCTATTTATAAAATGTAATCTTAACATGTTTATAAGGCCACCCAGAGTGTGTGAATTTTGCGTATGATTTCAGTTTTTTCATTTTTTTTATTCGACATTTTTTCATAAATTTCTAATATATTTTAGAATGAAAGTTATTGGTGAATCATCAGTTGCTAGTGATAATGTGATCATGTTTTTACACAGATTTCACACACAAATAATGTGCACACTGATGAATGAGACCCGTTATTTCTTGAAAAATAAGAGTTTTTTTTTTATCTTTATACATAAGATCATATGGAATGGAATAGAAATCGAACTGGATCCAGCTGAGCCAGGAAAAATGGTCACAAATTCTAACAGGTCAGGGCTTTTTATTTTATACATTTTTTTTGAGAAAGATCATTTTACAGAGATGCCAAAATAACCACCACTAGAGCATTGTATTCTTTTTGCTTATTCTTATTCTTATTTTTTTTAAACTAAAAATTTTTTTATTGTTAAATATAATTTCTGCAACAGAGAAGACTTTGTGGACAAGTATGTGGATTATATCCTGAATAAATCAGTGGAGGAAGTGTTTGAAGAATTCAAGAGAGGCTTCTTCAAAGCATGTGACCGATGCATGGTGGAGATGTTTGAACCGGAGGAGCTGAGAGGTGTGCTGGTGGGCAGTGAGGAATATGACTGGGACATACTCAAACAGGTCCATGCTAACACATAATATGTCAAACAGACATGTCATAACTACTATGCTCTTGACATTGTGAACGATTGTGAATACTGTCTACATGTATTCTTTCAATCAATAGAACACTACATATGAAGGATCATTTTATGCTGGGCATCCAACCATCATCTCATTCTGGGAGGTGTTTGATGAACTGACATCAAATGAGAAGAAGGCCTTTCTGTGTAAGTTCACTAGTACAGTTCACATTTGTGTAAGTTCAGAGTTTTTTGAAAAGAGATGTGGTTTAAAGGGGTCATAAGGATGCCCATTTTCCACAAGTTGATATGATTCTTTAAGGTCTTAATGAAAAATCTGTAACATAGTTTGGTTAAAATTTCAGAGAAAGGGGTAAAGATTTTAGTAGATTAACAAAAAACCACTGGGTGGATTTTTATCATTTTAGGGTGGTTGTGTACACACACTGCCAACACACATTTCAGTTCAAACAACTTGTAAAAGTGCATATAGCATTATATGACCCCTTTAAGAAGTCACACTTAATTTTTTTAGTTGTTGTTGTTGCATCTACTCTAGCTACTCCTACAATTTTGACTTTGTACTGTATGCCAAGACACATCCAGAGTGTTTTCAAATAACTCTTCCCCCATTTCCTTTCTCTAGTGTTCTTGACAGGGTTCGAGAAAGTGCCCATTCTGGGTATGAGTGCGGTGAAGATGAGAGTGAGACCCCTGTTCAGCTTTACTCAGGACCATCTACCACAGGCCCTCACCTGCCATGCTCTGCTAGACCTTCCTGTTTATCAGAAGAAGGAAACGCTAAAGGCTAAAGTAATTGAAGCCATCAACCACAAGAGGGGGTTCTGGGAAGAATGAGGCAGATGCTGGAGTACACTAACTAAAATCAAAAGTTTGATCCTTTATCTTTCTTGGCATTAAATATAAATATATATTTCTTAATATATACGCGAGATCGGGGTTTGTTGTAAGAACTTTAACAATCAGTTTCTGCTTTAATGTGTGAAAAAAATTAAGGAAAGTACAAAGTTTACATTTATAACCACTACCAGAGAAATAGGAGAGGTTTGTTTTCTAAATGCTGTAATTTCTGTGATGTGTTGTATTATGAACTTAATTTGAAATAAATGTTAATATAATTCTTTTTATTTTAAATGTAAACTTCTATTTTAAATAATTATTTATTTTATTTGTATTTTTTCAAACCAAGATTAAATAATGAATTTTTTAAAAATAAAAACATTAGAAAAAGAAGTGTGGATTTTTGAGTTGTTTTTCTCTCTTCTCCAATGTAAAAATCAGTCTTAAAAACAAGATTTGTGCCAACTAATTTTTTATTGGATTTTTTTTCATCTCCGCTACAATTTACTCCAGGCCTGAAACAACATAAAATTCCACATATTTTAACCATACTTATGCACTAGAGTTTAAACATACACAGAATGTTATATTATAGTTTTAATATTATATTATCAATTGGAAATCTTGACTTTTTACATCTGACATGCTGCTTTGCTATTTCGTGTACAATTACTGATGCCAAAACTTTAAATCAAATCAGTCTCCAACACTGCATTTGTTAATAAACTATATTAATTAACTGATGTGCACATCAGGACCACATGTGTCGCCCTCTAGTGACCCAAACACTATTAAAGAGCTGGTTGACAGAAGTCACGTGATCAGAGACGCCGTAATCTGAGTCGTAACTTCCTTGTTTTTGTCGGAACCATTAAACTGAAACCATTCCAGTAATATACGGTCAAAATAAACAGGAGACGAAATGCATATTACCAGGTAACATTTATCTGCTTTAAATCATCTCCCTAAATATCTGTTTATTTTTGACTTGTGTTAGACAGGGCACAGCATTTGCGTGATGACAGTTTAGTGAGTGTCAGTGCGCAGTTAACTTATGTGTCAGTTTGTCCTGATATTATCCTGAATATTAGTATTGAGGTACTGTATTTAACGCATGCACAGCCCGATGAGATGTTTGAGTATTATCATCTGCAGTATATGAACTACATCATGATTTGGCTTATTAAAGACATGAAATGTGTCAGGCTTGTTCTTACAGGCCGAACTCAGATTGAACCCACTTTTGAAAGATTTCCGCTGTGTTTCTAAACCTAGCGTGCAGCCTATCTAGACATTTCTGACCGTCATAAGCACTTTTGATTAGAAGGTTCGGGAAACGCCCATGACGTTCATAAAATCGATTTGAATGTCGAACTTTCAGTAACTTACGCGCCAATAACACGCACAAAGTCGGAATATTCTGAACGCACACGTCTCCAATAATTTGTTATTTCGAAACGCGCCTATATGATGTCCCAACAATTAGGTTCGAACGTTCTGAATTTGTTCATGATGCTCAAAAATATGATTCGAACGTTCAGAACACGCCTATGATTCTCCAGACATTAGATTCGAATTTTCGGAACACTCCTATGATTCTATAGAAAATGTATTCGAGCGTTCAGCAGTACCCATTTATGAATATCAAAATGTTTCCGTTCAAAATTAGATTCTAATGTTCAGAACGTAACGTTACCTTTGCCAACAATAGGTTGCATTTGCGCTAGAATTCGATTCAAAGTTTCAGAACGCACCAGTAGTATGCAAAAAGTCGAACGTTCGGAACGCATGTCTCTTCAAAAATGTGATAATTCGAATGGTACAAAATTTGCCTTTGCCTTGAATTCAACTTGATCGTACAGTATGATACATGGTACTGAATTCGACAGAATTCGATTTAAACGTTCAAATCGTTTAAACGTTAAACGTAAGTTCAGGAGTTCAGGAATTAAAATAATTGTAATATTCATGATGTTGCATGGATATATATTGCTAACAAAATTGTAAATATATTAAAATATTTTGTCCGCCCTAGTATGATAACTGAGTACACAAACCTGTCCCCTGCCTAGACATATACGCCCACTTTTATTAGTACATGTTTTAGAGAGTGAATCCAATGAATTGTGATGATTCAGTAGGTTTTGGAGTTAGACAGATGCATTAGTAAATCTGTGGGTTTTTTATTTAACCACACTAGGCGGTTTATGATCTGCATTCTTGTCTCAAGGGCCCGGCCGTCCACACTAGCTGTCATTTACACACACACTGCCCAATATGGAAAGAGGAATGGGGTGTGACCTCTTCCCTTCCCCTCTACTGATTTCTCACCTATTTGCTTTCCAGCGTCTCATGCCAGACTTTGTGTTCTGTTCCAGATCCGTCACGTACAGGCGGAGACGGCAAGGCGGTACATCCTAGGAGCTCTCCCTGATTCCGGACCCTTCCATCTCTCTCCCTCTTTATGTGTGAATCATGATGCTGTGCTGGGGAAGCAGTGCCTCGGGTCAGCTGGGCATCGGGGCGTCGGAGGCGTTTGTCTTTGAGCCGAGGAGCTGTTGCATGTTCGACGGGAAGGGTCTTAAAGAAGTTGTGTGCGGCAGCCAACACTCGCTCTTCCTGTTGCATGATGGGAGCGTTTACGCCTGTGGCTCCAACAGCTGCGGTCAGCTGGGCCATGACAAGGGAGGATGGAGGCCAGGTAACTGACATAAACTGATGCTCATTTCTCTCCAAAAAGCCTGTGATGTCCCAACAAATAGACTTAGGATTGTAATTTCACAGATTTCCTCCCACAATTGATGCAGAAACTGCAAAAAAAAAAATCACATTCTATGTGGACTTGGTCATCACTGTATATGAATATGTATAAATGTATGTATTTTCTATTGTTATTTATCAGGTGGTTTACCAGGTGCACTTGTTAGGAGATGTCGTCCAGAACTTGCTTTCTTAATTAAGTGTATTGATTTCTTTAGGTTGATTAAAAAGTTGTGCGAGCATCGAATCTCACAAGTGATGTGTGGCAACCAACACTGCATAGCACTTTCAAAAGGTAAGTGTAGACTTATCAATAGTTTTGTTTTCTGCTGTGCTTCTGCTGTGCCAGTAAATGAGGTTTCCCGCTGTCCTCCTCGTCTCAGATGGTCAGCTGTTTGTATGGGGTGAGAACTCCAGCGGTCAGCTGGGTTTAGGGAAGGGAGAGCCCAGCACTCTGTCTCCTCAAACGCTCAGATCTCTGTGTGGGATCCCACTGACTCAGATCAGCGCTGGAGGAGACCACAGCTTCGCCCTGTCGCTGTCTGGAGCCGTGTTCGGCTGGGGGAAGAACAGCGCGGGGCAGCTGGGCCTCAATGACGAGCAAGGTAAAACGCACACGCTGACCTAGAGGTTAACCAAAAGGTTGCTGGTTTGAATTCTGCAATGGACTTGAAACAGTACTTATATACTTGAATAGGCATCATTTTTGTCTATGATCTCATAGACCAGGCTGTTCCCTGTCACATCAAGTTCCTGCGCTCACAGAAGGTGGTGTACATCAGCTGTGGAGAGGAGCACACCGCTGCCTTGACAAAGGTATTGATCATACAGCCAAAGTATAGCAGTGTGCTGAAAAACACATACTCATTCGAAAACAGTGTTGCCCTTTAGCAATATTTTACATATGTATCCAAATGTTTTGAGTCTAATTGCTGTAGTTATTTGAACATCCATTAGTTTAATTGTTATATTTTTTTTAGTTACTGTCTGAAAATGTTTTGACAAGAATTCTAGAACTAAAGTAGGTTAATATGGAAAGTTGTTCAGTTGTATTTGTCACGTTCAATCCTGGGCATTGAAGCATTGCTGTTTGTGCTGTGTTTGCTTCAGGAAGGGGGTCTGTTCACATTTGGAAACGGTTCTAGAGGACAGCTGGGCCACGATTCCACCAGAAACGAGCCTCTTCCACGCAGAGTTATGGAGCTCATGGGCACTGAGGTGTCTCAGATCGCTTGTGGGCGGTAAGTATATGCACTAAACAAGATGCACATTTCTGTGTCCATCTGTTTTAGATTGGTGAATGTGCTGATTTCATTTTAGTGTTCGCTTTAATTTTGTGTCATTTCCAAAGCATACTAACACCATATGGATAATGCACATATTTTGTTTAGTATTTTTGAGTAACCGTTGTGTATTAATACAGTTTTAATACAATTTATTATTAATACAATATTAATTTTATTTAGCAAAGAAGCATTGTATGAGAAGGGATATTTGACAGCATACTTCTGTGTGTACGTCACAGGCACCACACCCTGGCATTCGTGCCCTCCACTGGTCTGGTTTATGCTTTCGGCTGCAACACTCAGGGCCAGCTGGGTACAGGCCTCAGAGGAAATGCTAAGAGCCCACTTCCTGTCAGAAACATCCAGCCCCTGTGCATTGGAAATACACACACAAGTATGTTCACATGTTCGAATGGATTAAATAAATAATCAAAATCAATTATAACAAGCCAAATGTTAATTTACTGATTTGCACCATTATTTAATGCCTTATCTCATTTTGCGCTTGACAAGGCTGTGATAGTTGCTCATTTGTGCCGCTCTTAGTAGATTGTGTTGGTCATTATGGAAATGATCCGGCTGCATCTGTGTTCTTTTATTTGTGCGTTGTCAGTAGATCGGCCACAGAACTTTTATAGAATTGCTGTCTCATGCTGATGTGCCCGGTTTAGTAAATCTGCCCCAAGTATGTATTTAACATTCATTTAATGTGAATTCCTTTTGAAGAAATAAATATTATTAAAAGAATAAAACAGTTCAGACGTCAGCTGTTGCACAAAAATAATTATCAGTCGCACTTTCTGTATTTTGAATAGAGGTAAATTTGAGCACACTCATGTGTATTTTAGTACATGGCTATAATGAATGAAAAACCTCCATACAGTTTCACTGGAGTTGAGTGTTTTGTTTCGCGTACCATGCTTTAATGGTTTTCCATCTGAAGCAGATATAGAGGGTCTGCTATTTTGAGGGAGTAAATAATTAGTCCTCTAACTGGAGTGATAGGGATTGTTGTAGAGACCGTGTGTCCATGCAGGGATGGTCAGATATAAATAGACAGCATTGAAGAGGATCTGTAGTTTGGTTTGTGATTCATCTGATGGCTGGATCTTGTGTGAGTGTGAGTGTGAGTGTGAGTGTGAGTGTGTATGTGTGTATGTGTGTGTGTGTGTGTGTGTGTGTGTGTTGTTTTGATGACCGCACAGAAGGTTGAATGCACAATTTGGTATGTGTGGATGTGTAAAAATAGTAATAATTTGAAAATGAGTCTCTTTATTTCTCCTTCAGATTGTTTTTATAAGGTCAACTGTCCTGTATGCAGAAATGATTGAACGCTTTTAGCATAAAGTAGGTATGCATTTTGCAGAAAAGTGCCTGGTATCCATTCTAGAATTGTTGATAAGTTTGAACTCATTAATAACACACATAGATAACTAACACTCATTCTTCATGTGCTTTGTTATTATATAACTACTGTATAAAAGGAACCACTTATGTTCTTTGTCTACAGAAGGCGAGCGCTACACCATCCGTAAAATTCACAGTGGAGGCGATCACAATTTCCTGTTGTTGTCTACTAAGGAGGTAACCATGCTGATTTTCACTGGAGTGTCATTAGAGCTGTGAAACAACTCTGCTGATGCTGTACTGATTGTTTAGATATGTTTCCTTTACAAGCATATTCAATAAATTAGTGCATTCTTCAATATATTTTCACAGAATATAAAGTGTAGCGAGTCAGTACCTGCTCATACTACTAGCTTCTGTGTTATTTTAATATTTACATTTAGGCAGTTTTACATGTGCTCTTGTGAAAATAAAAAAGTGGCTGCTAGGAGGTCAGTACTTGCTCTTATCCACATGGTGGCGCCGTTACATCAATATAATGGGCTTACAGGACATGACAAAAAACACTGCTGTTGCTCTCACTGATGTGATATGTTTTATTTCTTCTTAATTAGACCAGTTAATGCTAAAACCATTAAAACCGGCTTGTTGTGTTTATACTTGGAGTATATTGTGACCTGAAGTGTTTGTCTGTGTTTGAGAACAGGGTTCATCTTGTCCCGAGGATTTCCGCATTGTGAATACCACCAAAAGCATCGCTCTGATTAATTCTGAGAGTCTGGACAGCTGGAGGATGAAGCTCCATGACAACAGCGATTCAAGCATCACCAAGTGAGTGTGTGACGTTTTCCGGTTTGATTACAGTTATGACAGAGGCCTCGCTGAAATCTTCCACTTGGCAACCATTTATTATTTTAAAGATTATAAATGAAAGTATTTAACTTTCATAGAATGACATACACAATCATTCAGTCTGTTTTTGACAAAAGTGCCCACCAAGGCTGCATTTATTTGATAAAGTATATAGTAAAAACCGTAATATTGGGAAATATTATGACAAATTAAAGAAACTATTTTCTATTTGAATATATTTTAAATTGTAATATATTCCTGTGGTCAAAGCTGAATTTTCAGCATTATTACTCCAGTCTTCAGTGTCACATGATCCTGCTATAACAAGTCTCAGTTAGCTTAACGCAGTACACGTAGCAAGGTTTTTCTTTTTAATTATATAATAAATAAAAAGAAAACCGATAGAATAGAAAAAGAATAGAGTAAGCTAGTGTTAGAGGCCCTTTTTTTTTAATTGTATAAGAAATAAAAAGAAAACAGATAGAATAGAGAAGCTAGTGTTAGTTTTTTTTAAGAAAACAAGCAGTTAGTAAATGAATAGAGTGCAAGTTTTTTATTTATTTTTTATTTAAAATTTTCTTTAAAATGTTTAAGTTTTTTAAATCATTCTAATAGGATGATTTGCTGCTCAAGAAACATTATTTTATTATTATCAGTGTTAAAAACAGTTGCGTTGCTTCATAGCAGTAATGATTATTTGATGAATTGAAAGTAAAAAAGCATTTATATGAAATAGTAATCTTTTGTAACACTATAAATGTCACTTTTGATCAATTTTATGCATCCTTGCGAAAAAAAATCAGAGATGAAGTTATCAAATTGCAAAAAAATTAAAATGATTATTTTTTAAATAAATGAGGTCAGTTGTGATGTATCTGTCGAAGCACGTTGTATAAAATATTTGTTATTATTTTGATGCTGAATTCAAATCTCTTGACTCCTCCCCATCTAGTGACATCATACTCCTGTTTTCCTCAACTGCATGTTGGAATGCCAGCTTTTTGGACCAAAGGTGAGCAGTTAAGATGTTTCTGCCTTGCCAGTAAGCGTATGCGCACAGGGTGACGCCATGGAGAGCAGGGTGCTTGGGATTTTTCCATAAGTGACTTCTGCTTAACGTCAGTAGGAAAATTCTTTGTAGGTACCAACAGAGCTCCCGGTTACTGCTCTTTCTGTAAAAGAACAGTCCCACTTACAGAGCAAATGGGACTTGATGGATATCTTTATCTGATGTTCTGAATCGTTGATTAATCGTTCTGCCTCATTCTGCCTGATGCAGTCCTCGATGTTCATAATCTGCACTGCAGCCGAAAACATTTTAAGAGATTATCTGGTTACATAAGCAACAACTGGTGTTGCTGGTGTTCAGACGGGGTATTATGGGTTGTGAAGTCAAATCTTCATTTTAAAATGCAGTTTTGTGTATGTGTTTAAAACTCTGCTGAGCACATGTCCCAACGCTGGCTTGACGGGCATTTGGAGCAACACATGGTGCCATGCACACATAAAACTCTAGATGTATTGAAGTTATTTAAACTCTAGTTTATTTAATTCATTTGAAGAGTAGAGGTTTCTGTAGGTCAGAAATTTGCGCTACGGACTGTGCAGCTTTATTTTTATAGATTGAAATGGATAGTATTGGTTTTGGATTGAATCACATCAACTAAGTCTAATTGCACCACAATTAACCTCTTTGACCAAAATGAATGTAATTGGATTCAACTTAGTCTGATCTATCAAATCAAGTTAAATCAGATTTATTTGATTCAGACTGGATCGAATGGATTTGAATCAAAACAGTAATTAATAGTTAAACACATTTTAGATGATTTACTTTTTTAGATGACTCAAATTGAAGAAAAAAAATGAACAGTCAATTGCAGCTGAATTGATTTGAAATGAGTCAGAATGCTCAAATCCAACTAAACTGAATTATAATGAATCAGATCAGTCATATCCAGTTAAATCTAATTAAATACATTAGAAACAAGTTGAAATGAATCCGATCAATCAAATCAAATTCAAATCGACCAGATTCTATTAA